AACCGCGCTATATATATTGACTTTATCTGAAACGAAACAGCTTTTTCGCAATCGGTCAGCTTTTCAGACCGACAAGACAACACACAAAATGTTGTATTCAACCGCGCTATATATATTCACACAAAACGTAGTATTTAACTGCTATATATCCTGTTTGTGCTAATCCATTTTTTACTTGGTACTAGGATGTGTTTGTCTTGATTAATCTTTTATTTTCATGTATGTTTCTTTAGTTATGGTTGTTGTGGTTTTTTCTCTTGAAGTATTATGTTATGAAATTTCAATCTTCATATTGGTCTTCTTTACTAACACCAATAAGTTGAATGTTGGAACTATCATATCATCATCCCAATTCAAAAGGTCATGTTAGATAATAAGATGTAACAAGGCTGTGGAACATAATTTTATTTGATACATCTTGCAACATAAACAAGTACAGACACTTATTACAAAAAATATTACGAAAATAAAACACTAGGTGTATCCTTGATAGTTGGGTACATTAGACGAACTTGCACCAGGAGCTGGATTACCACCGCCACCCAAACCAGGTGAAGGATATTTAGGACAGTCGTGTCCTGTTTGCGAGCATATGCCATATTTACGCGCATAAACGGTATCACCAACATCCATTTGGTTCCGTATACGCGTTCTCTTTTGCACTTGCAGCTTGCGCAAATAGTCCTTGTTATACAGCATTTTAAATGGTTACGGCGGCCAATAATGCTCAGCACCCAATGGCTGCAACTGCCCACTATATGTGTTTATGTATGCAACAACATTGTATTACCTATCAACATAGTTGGTTGCCCCTAAACCTGTTTGTTGAAAGCACTTCATGGCATGTGCGCACGGCATGTGGTAGATGGTCCATTTCCCACATGAACACAACCTGCTGGCTTCATTCACGGTGTGTAGATTATTTCCCCGGTGTCCGCGGATAGCGGTGCGAACTTCAAAAACACCCCAGTCATGATCATACTGTAAATGTGAATGCCAATGTGCTCGCATCCTGTATTTCTCAAATCTTCTCATCGGTATTGGCATAAATTCAACACCCCTGCCTATCAATTCCGATGAAAGCTCTGTGCCTTTCAACAAACCTCTCCGCCGTCTGTTTGAATGTCATCCGGACCATGGCAGTGACAGGCAATCCACGTGCAAACTTCAATAAGCTGTTGAATGACTCCGACACATTTATAGTCAGGGCTCCCCATCGTCTGCCACCATCAGCATGCAATGTCCACTTGTGAAGCTCATGTACCATCAGCCAATTATAGGCTCTTTCGTCTAACTGCCGGAACGCTTCCATGCGCCTCCTGAATTTGCACTGCTGGTGCTCAGTTGTAGTCATCCACATTAAATCATGCAATTCCTTGGTGGGATAATTCTTTGGGAAATTGACCTTCAGGTTCTTCACACAGTAACGGTGGTATGCATAGGGTTCCTGCCATTCAGGCAAATGCCGTACAGAACTTAAAATACCACCATGCCGATCAGATATTAGACAAATACCTGAACGCTATTTGACAACGTGCTGCTTCAAGTGGTTCAAAAATAGCGTCCACATCTCTTCGCTTTCATTGGCACAAATGGCAAAAGCTAGTGGAAATATTTGTTCATTGGCATCTACTGCAACGACGATCAACAGCTTAATATTATACTTTCCATAAACATGAGTACCGTCTATGGAAATTACCGGACGGCAATGCACAAAACCATCAATTGCTGGTTTAAATGCCCAGAACATGTATCTGAATATATATTCCGGTATTCCCGGACTCCGCTCATGCCTCCATTCAACAACAGTCCCGGGGTTAAAGTGTTTCAGTGCGGCCATGTACCTGGGTAGAGATGAAAATGACTTATCCCAGTCACCATAATTAATTTCAAATGCATGTTTGCGCCCGAGATATGCCTTTCTTTTGGTTATAGTACACCCATATTTCTGGTGGACGGATGTAATACACTCTTTGATCTTGTACCTAATGGACACTTCCAAGTATGGAATTAAGACAAGAGAAATCAAGTCTACATCCAAGTTGAAGTGATTCTCATTGAATGTGTCCATTTCACATTTGTGGGTGCTAATATATTTACCCACTTTCCACAATCCTGTTTCCTTCTTAATCGCACGCAACATCCAGTTACAACCCATAAAGTATCTACGGCATTTGACCTTGTATACCTCCGGAGTTGAGTCCCATACCATCATCTCACGGCACTCTCTTACGCTGTATATTCTTACAGCCCTGGTTAAGGAGCTTTATCGGGAAAATACATGCCCTTAGCCAGCACCGTTGGTCTAGACTCATCCCACATTGCTGATCGAAATTCGTCAACATCCCTTGTGAGGGCATCCACATCCGGCATACTTGGCAAATTATCAAGGTGGAGAATATTCCGCTTATGAAACGACACGTGGGACTCGTACACTCTTGGTCTAACGGGAGGTGGAGGAGCATGCTCCCTCGTCAGCTCATGTTCGACATTCACTTCCTCCTCCTCATCACCCTCGTCAGGGAAGGGTGTGTCATCTCAAGACTCATCGGCATTGTTGTCATAATCACTATTATCTTCTTGACTCTGCGCATCTGCCAAATCACGAGTAAATACTTCGTCTACGGGCAACTGAGTGAATTCAGGACCATTAAGTTGCTCGTTTTCACTGCACAAAAAGAACAAAATGATAAGCTACTCAAATTGATAAATATTTTACATATAGCTATATCACTTCACTTTAAAGTCGTACTGTGTTGACATTTCATGATGGACATTTTCCTGTTGGTGATGACTCCCGGATGGACCACCGTGATCCAACACGCCAGAACACGCATATTCCAACTGGGCGTGGGGTCATAACTTGTAAAATTCATATTCGGACGGTACCCCCTGTGGAAAATATTAGTGTTAATACAAATTCAATTCAACAAAAAATAAACATCGTAATAGAATGGAAAATTGAAGTTTACCAGTCATCTTGTGGATTATGTAAAGTAGGAGAGAAATTATTTCCTCGCTCCTCGTTCGCCCGCGGAGATAAGTTAAGATCCGGCCAAGCTCTTTCAGCCGGAACCCGTTGGGCTAAAATTGCTCCAAAATAACCACCCGATGACTGGGGGTTATCCCTGCTTTGCACAATCTCATTATTGCGAACGTTTTCAGCCTTGACGCACATTTCCAACAATTTTATCACAATAAATTCCCTGTATTCATCCGGAATCCGCAAAAAATCTCTAAGAGTTTCATCATCTTCGATGTTAAACTCAGAATAACAAGCAAACCCCTGCGGAGTCACAGAATACGGATATCTACCGGTTACTTTAAGGTTCACCGAACGTTTCCTCACACTCATTTTTTTAAGTAACAACGATACCAATTTATCGTAAAATCCATTGTAAGCGGCAATTTAACATGACACTGTGGAGATAAACTATACCTCACAGAGTTATTCTCCACTACAACCTCACCCCCCAATATAATGAAACCCTTATTTTTGGCTATTCGGACATTATAAAAAATGCTTGATAACAAGAAGAAAAGTTTGAACGGAAGTTAGAATATTTTTTGAATGGATTTTCAAAAAATCCTAACGCCTTTAAATAAAGCAATGCCTAGCACGAGGGGCTGAATTTTTTGATGTATAGCGCGGTATTACACCGCGCTATAACCATTTGAATTATTGTTATGTCAGTTAACCGCATGAGACTTATTGGTGGATCCACAAATAGGTATAGCGCGGTGTAAGGTTTCGGACTCTTGTAAAATACAACCCAAGTTCTAATTGATATGTGGGGTTAAAGCCATATTTTTAGGCATGTTCAATTTAATTACTAGTTCAGTTAAATTGGTATGGTTATAGTTTAATTTTTATATGGCTATGGTTTCAAAAACCAACATGGAGAACATAATTATGTTTTTATTCCGATATCTGCCAGCTTTGTCCTTCTGTTTTATTATTCAAATTTTAAGTCCAGCACATGATTTTTTCCTCCTGCAATCAATTTTATAGTTTAATCCAAGATATGATTAACATGTAAAGAACTGCATCGAGAATTTTGTCACATTTTTTGGCAAAATTAATATCCACAAATTGGAAGAGATCCAATATAGCTGGATAATGGAATTGTATATTAATGCACTCACCACCTCCCCCTCCCCCATTCGCTCACCCAAAATTTAAACAATAACTAGAAAGGAGTTTAATTTTTACATACTCATATGTAATAATTTTTTGCATTATCAGGTTAATTACTTAAAAAATATCTGTAAGCAGTTACTCATAAAAAGTAAGAAAGAATATAATAACCAATAGAGTGTGTGACAGCGTGTATATATGTTCTAGCTTAGCAAAAAAAACATACATGTGTGTTAGCTAATATAATATATATGAGTCTGTGTATATATTTGGACTTAGCAAAGAACCATAACATGTGAGCTGGCCAATATAATACACATTAGCCAGGTAATATTGCAGGCACATAATTCGTTATCAGTCAAAATTGCTACAAAGCAGGATCGTTTGAATTCTATGGTGGCAACTGGCAGCTACATATTTCGTTCATTTTTCTAATTCTTTGTTAATACCAAATTTCTGGCCGCCTTAGTTAAGAGTCTTTCTCAACCATGCTCTGCAGATTACTAGGAATAATGTCGTCAGAATAGGGCAGCCCGATGCACAAAGCATCCCGCATTCACGAAGGATCGAAGGGCCGCATCTCAAGGGGTGTGATGTAGACATCCTATCCTAATGCAAGCATTAGTGACTGCTTCCATGGTTCGAACCCGCGACCTATTGGTCACAAAGAAACAATTTTTCTAGAACAGTGACAAAAATATTCAAATTAATCAGTTCAAATTAATCATTATGCTTCTTTGAGTGAGCTGATGTGTTTTGACTCTAAGAAAAAGTTCCACCGAAAAGTAAACAAAGTCTGCTTTGATCGGATGTTGAAAAATATCACTACCGTATTTGAAAAATATCTCATTTCTTGCCAAACCAGAAGCCTACAAAAGAGCATATGCAACTGAGCTTTGAAGAATACCAACTAACCAAAATGCAGCTCTTCAGCTTGGTTTCCATTTTCCTATTTCTATCTTTCCTCTTTTTGTTAAGAAAATGGAAGAACTCCAATAGCCAAAGCAAAAAATTGCCACCAGGTCCATGGAAACTACCGATACTAGGAAGTATGCTTCATATGGTTGGTGGACTACCACACCATGTCCTTAGAGATTTAGCCAAAAAATATGGACCGCTTATGCACCTTCAATTAGGTGAAGTTTCTGCAGTTGTGGTTACTTCTCCTGATATGGCAAAAGAAGTACTAAAAACTCATGACATCGCTTTTGCGTCTAGACCTAGCCTTTTGGCCCCGGAGATTGTCTGTTACAATAGGTCTGATCTTGCCTTTTGCCCCTATGGCGACTATTGGAGACAAATGCGTAAAATATGTGTCTTGGAAGTGCTCAGTGCCAAGAATGTTCGGACATTTAGCTCTATTAGGCGCGATGAAGTTCTTCGTCTCATTAATTTTATCCGGTCGTCTTCTGGTGAACCTGTTAATGTTACGGAAAGGATCTTTTTGTTCACAAGCTCCATGACATGTAGATCAGCGTTTGGGCAAGTGTTCAAAGATCAAGACAAATTTATACAACTAATTAAAGAAGTGATACTCTTAGCAGGAGGGTTTGATGTGGCTGACATATTCCCTTCACTGAAGTTTCTTCATGTGCTTAGTGGAATGAAGGGTAAGATTATGAATGCACACCATAAGGTAGATGCCATTGTTGAGAATGTCATCAACGAGCACAAGAAAAATCTTGCAACTGGTAAAACTAATGGAGCGTTAGGAGGTGAAGATTTAATTGATGTTCTTCTAAGACTTATGAATGATGGAGGCCTTCAATTTCCTATCACCAACGACAACATCAAAGCTATAATTTTTGTAAGTAGTGAACATTACAGTTAGAACCTTATTCTTATTTAAGTATACATTTGCTTCCATTTCAAATTGGATGAGTTATACAAGGCAAATAGCACGTGCATCATAAATTAATATCTTAACTTGGCCATAAATGCAGGACATGTTTGCTGCCGGAACAGAGACTTCATCGTCAACAATTGTGTGGGCTATGGTGGAAATGGTGAAAAATCCAACTGTATTCACGAAAGCTCAAGCAGAAGTAAGAGAAGCATTTAGAGGAAAAGAAACTTTTGATGAAAATGATGTGGAGGAGCTAAGCTACCTAAAGTTAGTCATTAAAGAAACTCTAAGACTTCATCCACCGGTTCCACTTTTGCTGCCAAGAGAATGTAGGGAAGAGACAAATATAAACGGCTATACTATTCCTGTAAAGACCAAGGTCATGGTTAATGTTTGGGCATTGGGAAGAGATCCAAAATATTGGGATGACGCAGAAATTTTTAAGCCAGAGAGATTTGAGCAGTGCTCTAAGGATTTTGTTGGTAATAATTTTGAATATCTTCCGTTTGGTGGAGGAAGGAGGATTTGTCCAGGGATTTCATTTGGTTTAGCTAATGCTTATTTGCCATTGGCTCAATTACTATATCACTTCGATTGGAAACTCCCTGCTGGAATCAAACCAAGCGACTTGGACTTGACTGAGTTGGTTGGAGTAACTGCCGCTAGAAAAAGTGACCTTTACTTGGTTGCGACTCCTTATCAACCTCCTCAAAAGTAATTTAATGTTTTCAATTTTTTATTTCCTAGTAAACCCCACTGTTGTCCTATCTTTCTTTTGGTGTTTTCGATTTTATCTACTCTAATACATGCATCTTTTACCATATAGGAATGTATCATGATTTTCTGTTTATCTTAAATTTTGGAATAATGATGTTAGTGGCATTCAACTTATTTCATTTGTGATGCCATACATATATATANTCATTTTCTTTGTTCAGTTAAATTAGTATGGCTTTAGTTTCAAAAACGAACAGAGAACAATGTATGTTTTTGCTCCCATCTCTGCTAGTTTTCTCTTTTCTTTTCTTTTACTAGTTTTTTGAACTTCGCAAACAACTTTACATGCGTGTTAGTAAAATACACACACGTAGTTGAACTTAGCAAAGAATCAAACATATGAGCTAACCAATATATATATATATATATACACACACACACATATATATATATATATATATATATATATATATATATATATATATATATATATATATATA